GCCCCGGCCCCGGCCGCGGGCGGGAGCAGGTGCCTCCACCCGCGCCTGCAGCGGGCACCGGAGGCATCGCGTGCCTCTGCCCTCAGCCCGCTGCGTCCCCGGGGCTGGGGAGAGGGAGCCCCGCTGGGCTCTACCGGGTTGGGGAGCCCATCGCCGTTTGGGCGCCCCTGGGATAGCCCCAGGGGCAGCACCCCCTGATCCAGGGGGAGGCCTGAGGAGCACCCGGATGCGGAGCGATGGCCCAGACTAGAGTTGAGGCAGCCAGACCAAGCCCTAGCACAGGGGGTGAATGTAAGGGAACCTTGTGGCCTTTTCTGATCTATTTTTAAGCCTGAGTGTCCAGTGAAGCTGTGGCTAATGCAAGAAGGGAATAGATGTCATCAGGCAATATGATCCCCTCGAGGACATGGTTCCGGGGTCATAATTGGCTCTGTGTCCCTGCCAGCATTCACATTTGTGTGGTCCTAGGAGAGCTGGGAGGCTGCTCCAGGGTTCCTCTGCCTCGTCTGTCCCTGGGAGACAGGGACATGAGACTGCCTGTCCTCAGCACTGCAGGGCAGCATGGGTGGCACTGGCTCAAGCATCAGCGAGGGGCTGGCCCCCAGCGCTGGTCCCACTGTGGTGCTGACAGAGCTGCTGGTACCTTGCCTGGCGCTGAAGCAGGGATTGGCTTGCAGCCACAAGTGCAGCAGAAGGGCCGGTGCAGCGCCGCTCCCCAGAGCTTGTCGCTGGGCTGCTCATGGTGGGTCTTGGCGCCTGCGGAGCTGCTGCCCTGGCTGGGCAGCAGAGAGTAGCTCAAGCCCTCCCTGCAAGGCCTGGGCCGCCCACGCTCCCCCTCTGCTATCCCTGGGCCTTGGGGACAGCCTTGGGGCTGGGGCAGCGGGGGTGCATTTCCTTCCACCAAGCGCCCTGTCACAGGGCTGCCCCGAGCAGCGAACACAACTAACTTGCTCGAAAGACAGGATCCTGTTATTGCACAGACCGTGACCACAGGGGGCCTCACGCCTGTCCCTGCAGGAAGGTCCCCTGGGGCCATCTCTCAGACACAAGGCCAGCCGCTGGCATGGAGCAAAGGGCTCCCCCCAGGAGCTGTGTGGCTGGGGAGACCAGCCCTTAATTGCTGAGTGCAATCCTGTTCCTGGGCTGAAGCTGTTTCCTCAGAGACCTTGGGCAGAGTTTACATTCCTGGGATGAGCATCCCCTCTCTGGGCCGCGTGGAGCAGAGACATGAGCAGAGAAATAATATTTGGACACTAGTAACCTGTGACCAGCAACATCCTCCTGCTAACGGGAGAAACATCCAGCTGGCTAGGGCCGTAGCCACTCGCTTTCAATCTGTCATGCTCTTCCCCCGGGGGCCAGGCCTACCCTTCCCCAGCTGCAGGATGAGGCTGGATGTCAATGCGATACTATAAATGCCCAGCACGTCCCTCCAACTGCCTCCCACCAGGCTCCAGGGAGCAGAGCTGTGCATTTTGGGAACAGGAGATGGGGCAGGCTCAGGGGAATGGGCAGGGGCATAAGGCAAATATCGGCATTTCCTTGAAGGGCAGTGTGCCTCCCCCGCGACAAACCTGCTCAGCAGCCATGGGCCGAGAGCACCAGCTCGTGTGTGTCACCCTGCCGTCTCCTGGATGGGACGCAAAGGCAAGGCCCCGAGTGCCTCCGAGCCCTGCAGGGCCAGCAGAGGCAGCCACCCTGCAGCTCTGGCTCCCCGTAGGCTGCAGCAGCTGCTCTCATTGAGTCCTCACCTCTATAACACGCACCCGCTTTAGCATCAAGATTCCCTCACAGGCATCTTCTGCCCCCCAAAATCCCACTTGCAGCATCTCCAATGAAAATGGGTCAACAGAAACCTGCTTTCGGATGGTGTCCTCCAGCACCACTGCTAAGCCTTCAGAGAACAGCCCCCGAAACCTCAGGTCACTATTTTTGTGCTGCTGCTATTTACGACACCAGACAAAGTTTGATCAGGGTTGGAGGCTTCCACCCAGGGGAAGTGACAAAGCCCATGTGGTCTGGTGTCCGGCGAAGCCACCCCCGGGCTGCTGGGGCTCCGGTGCTCGCCTGGGAACAAGGCACCTCCGAGCTCCCACTGCCTCCTTACCTGCACCCTGTGCTGGGAGTAGGACTCGCCAAGGTCACAGCAGCACGAAAATGTGACACTCCTAAGGATAATGCTTCATCCCAGAGCACTGATGTCCTTAACTAGATCTGATTGCTCCCTCTAGCCCTAATACAGCTCTTGTTCTCGTAGGATCATCTCACATGGCAGTGGGAGGACTCCAATTGCCATCTAGCCTCCAGGCAAACCAGCAGATATTTCTGCAGATCCCATCTCAGCAGCAGAGCGAGGCTTTGAGGCAGAAGGCAGAGGGCTGGCAACGGCACAACTGCAGCCAGGCATGTCTGCATGCAGGAGTGGGAAAGGACCAAGGAACACGGGATGGTGATGGTCATGACCTGGTGAGGGTCTTCTTTGGGCACTGACCTTCCTGGAGAAGCAGCCCCAGATGTTTCTGCCAGATCTCTGCTCTTTTCTCCAGGGAACAGCGTGACTGCCACCCTTTTGCCAGAGCAGGACTGACACAGTGACCCTGGATCATAAGCATTTCTCCAAAAGAAAGCAGCTTGGCCAGGTACCTGGGATCCAGAGGTCTTCTCAGAGCTCCTATGGTATTGGGCACCAAGAGGGATATGTGGCCAGGGCCAGGCACAGGCCGCGCAGCATGGCAGCGCCTTTACCACCATCTCAGCATCACCCACCACCCAAGAGCACGAGGCAGCCTGCAGGAGTCAGTGGGGCTGCCGCAGAAAAACCTGATTTTAGACCTCAGAAGAGCCCCGCATCCTGGGAGGCTCTGGCGGTGCCGCCCAGCGGGCTGGGCCCCGCCTGAGGGTGCCGGCGCCGGCACGTCCCTCACTCCTTGCTGTGAAAGCTGTGGCGTCCCAGCGGCCTCCCAGCCCAGGTGCGCAGGGTTGCCGCTGGCCGCCGAGGGCACTCACAATAGGGGGAAGCGGGCTGCTCTGCACACTCCCAGCCTTGCGCCTCGCGCGCCTGTTGTTGCTGTCGCAGGCAGCCGGACACGGCTGGCGTTACTCAGTCCCGGCTGCACGTGGCAGGAACTCCACTGTTTATTTTTGTTCCTCGGGGTGGATTCGGCCTCCCCTGGGGACCCACGGCCCCTCTTCGGGCTGGCCGAAGCTCACGACACCTGACAGGAGAGCCACATGCCTGGTAGAGAGCTCACCCCCACGTGGCGCTGTTGGAAGCTTGGAGGCGCGGGGCCAGATCCAGACCAGTATGGGCCCCACAGAGGTGCAGGACCCCTCTACAGGCACCAGGGCTGCCCCAAGTGCTGGAGGCAGCGGTACCACATGAGGAGAGCACATCACAAGCCTGGCGGCGTGTCCAGCTGTGGCTCCCCCTCAAAGATTAATTCCCCATGAAATGATACACGGGGGTTGGGGCGATGCCACCAGGGAGGCCCCAAATGCTGAGGGAGCCCGGCAAGTAGTTGGATGGTGCTCCAGGAGTGGGTCAGGCGGCTGGCATGCCAGTCTCCGCTCAGCCGCAGGCCTCCACCACCAGCGCACACCTCGGTTAATGCCAGCACTGAGCCTGGGGCGGAGGACGAGTCGCCTTCCTGCAAAGGGAAAGCTGCGGGCAGGCAGCAAAGCGATGCTGGTGACAGACAGGAGGCTTAATGACCACTGGCCGTGTCCCAGCGCGGCTGTGACGCAGCCGCGCCGGGGCAGCGCGAGGCAGCCGCCGTGCCTGGCGGGGCAGTCACGGAGAGCACATACTGCTCGGCGCAGGGCCCCGGCACAGCGGGGACTCGCCGGGGCCGCACAGCCCTGCAGCAGGGTGAGGCACCCAGCGGGCTGAACCACAGCCCCAAGCCTACGTGGGTGCCTACAGGTATGCACTGCATCAGCAGCGCCCGGGCGGCCGGAGAAGCTCCCCGGAGCCAGCAGTGCCAAAGGGAGAGCCCCGGCATGCAGAGTGCTCACGGTCTGGAGTGGGGCGCAGCACAGCTCACGCTGCTCTGCCCAACAGCTCCCGAACCACAGGGAGCCTCCGGGTGGGAGCAGAGCCCCGTAGCCCCAGAAATGCCCTGGGCATGTCTGTCCGCAGAGCAGCAGCACTTGGGCACACACAGAGGCTCCTGGTGCTGCCTAGCTGAGCGAGTTGAACCAGAGCAGGCGCAGAGTGAGGGCTCTGGCGCAGCACCGCATGCATGGCCCTCCACGCTCCCCACAGGAGCTGAACAGCCCCCTCTGCCAGAACGCAGGGCTGCGGTGAGAGAGAGAGTAGTTCTGCACCAGAAAGCAAAGCAGGCTGTGGTTATCTTCCCTCAGGACACATCTACCATGTGTATCGCCTTCCCTGGGAAAGGGGCAGTGAGTGTTTACTTCAGAGGAGAGAGATGGCAGTAAAATCCACTCATTCCTCTGCCCCTGCCCGACGCCTCGCCTGGCTCCCTCTTCGCCTGACCCAAGGAGCCCGTGGGCAGGGGCTGCCAGGCACCTTCCTCCCCTGCCAAAGTCTAACATGATCCACGCCCAGCCCAGAGCCTCTGCCTGCTTATCATGTGGATGCAGTTCTCCTGCTTTTAGCTGTCATAATATTGACACAAAGCAAAATAATAGGGATGGTGGGGCTCTGCCTGGCTCTGGAAGGCAAACACGTGGGGAGCAGGGGAGCAGCAACTCCTCTGTTGTGCAGGATGGGGCAGCAGCCTGGGCTGCTTCCAAGCTCTGCTTCCAAGCTCTGCTCCCTGGCATCGCCGGCTGATAAGGTGGACGAGGCGCGTCTGGACAGCAGGCGCGGGCTCTGCCCCAGCTCACCCCGGCGGGAGCGAACGTGTGCATCGGCAGGGCTTCGTCGCGGAGCCTATCCCACAACGGGGGTGGAGGAATGGCTCATCCCTGCCTCATTCCGAGACCTGGCAGCCGCTGAATAGCTCTCATGAGCGCCGCAGCGGACAATGCGTGCCGGCGAGCCCGGCGCCCAGCTGCAGCCGCAGCGAGCGCCTGAGCGGAGGAACTGCGCGGAGCTGGACGGTGACCAGGAAGCAGCCCAGACTGTCGGTGTCACGGACCCCTCGGTGACCACAAAGCGCCTGGGCCGTGCTTTGTTTCACCCCCGGGGCCCGGCTTCCTGGAGCAGCAGCAGTGATGCCAGGTTTGCTCGGAGCTTCCCTGAACCCACTGCCGGGCCTGGAGGGGTGCACACCGATCGGCATCGCCTCCTCCGCCGCCGAGCCGGGCTGCCTCACGCGCCCCAAGAGGGGACAGAGCCCCAGCTCAGCACCTGCCTAACGCCCACGGTTTCTCGTCCGCTTCGACCTCCTGTGGCCAACACACGGCACAGCCTACACCTTTTCCGGGTGTGAAGGCCTGAAGCGCCATTCGTGGAGCACTGCCAGCTGCGGCACGCGGTGCCTGGACGGTGTCTGAGCAGCCCAGCACCATACGCCCTCGTCCCTCACTCGGGCTTGTTTTTCTACATGGTACTCAGTTATTTCCCACGCTTCCCTCACCTCTTCCTGACCAGCCTGGCCTTTGCAATCGCTGCCTCCAGCTGCTTACGTCCTGAGAGGAGATCTGGGACCCACGGCACTCTAACGAGCCGACAAGCGAGGTCTCATATCCAGCAGCGGCATTTTAATGCCAGCTTCCCATGCCTTCCCTCCCTTCCCCGGAGGTCAAGAAGGGTGAGGGGCAGCCCAGGCTGCATGGCCCACTTGGCCCGTGAGTGTGGGTTGCTTCCACAACAAGCCCGAGAAAAAATCCAGCCTGCTTCCCAGCCTCGGCCTCTATTTTAAGGCTACAGAAAGGAGGGGGGCGAACGGCAAAGCTGCTGGCAGAAGAGATGATCCCAGGGATTCAGCACCGCCTACTTGCTTCCTGTAGGGCTCATGGACAATATTGGTATCGCAGAGGTCTGGCTGAGAGTCTGATTTGCCTGCGGGCACTCGTGTTGATGTAAGGATGAGCCACCAGGTATTTTTCAAGCAGAGATAGGTACACATACACGCAAACATTCAAATGCTTTGCCAGCTTGAGACACGGGGCTGGTCCTGTGCCTCCCCTTGGGTGCCTGCCGAGGAGCCACCTTAGCCTGGCTAAGGCAGCCTTAGCAAACCAGCCCGTTTCCCTGAGTCCATCCAGGGAGTCTCTTGCTCTTTACTAAGAATGACCAGCACAGGGGACAGTTGTTACCAGGAAAAAATGTATGAAGTCAAGGAAAACATCTGCTCTGGTACCTGCAGAGTCAGCCACAAATTTCAAGCATGCTAAAACTGCCGATGACTCAGGCAAGGTTTGCGTGCTTATCCAGACCCGCAGAGCTGAGTTTTCCAGTTTTTCACATACCTGCTTTTGATCATCGACTCTTTGTTTGGGTTTTTTGTCTCCTTTTCCTAGAAGCACACATTTTAAACACGCATTCAGCACTTGGTTCAGCCCCTCATTTTCATTCCTTTAACTTACTAAGTGACCAATTTTCCTCTCCATAGCACATAGAAAACACTGCTTTGGACTCCCTTAGCCCTTCGGCATATTCACTGCTGCTTCTTTACACCTCTGCCTCCCTGTCTGCACAGCCATATCTGTTACTGTAGCTGTAATAGTTTCTTACCTGATCCCTCTCCTATGATTTTTAACTCTGGCCTTTGAACACGGACCTTCCGAGAAGCAAACGTGTTAGACCAGAGATACCGATGGTACATCCTCCCCCTTGGGCTGTGGTTTGAGTCCTCCACACCACCGCCGTGGGCAGCTCTTAACAGCTGCTCCTCAAAGTCACTTTTGTTTAGAAAGCAGCTTAGGCTCCCAGTGACAAGACAACCCTACCCGTCTTTCTCCCTCGTTGCCTATCCAGTCTTGACAGTAACTTCTCTGTTGACAGCCTGCCTTGTTATTCTTGCAAGCCTGTGTCTCTGCTGGCTCCTTCCCTTCATCTGCACCCAGCATGAGCAGCTCACTTTTCCTACCCGGGTGTTGCAGACGAGTCCAATTACTAGAGTTCAGCAAACTCTGGTTCCCCTCCCTGGCATTTCATCCAGCCCACTTGATCCACAGAGAGTTTATAATCCAAACAGCCTCCCAGCACACAATGTTCCAGCACTCCTGGACTCTCACCCAGCCTCTGTCCTGCCTCCGCCTCCGTTACACTAGCATTTGAAGGGATCTGGGGATTCAATGCAGCCCCCAGGAGCCAGCTCTCTTCAGTGCACAATTTGAGGGGTTGAGGGGCAGGAGGCAGCACTCTCCATCCAGAGCCACCACCTGCGGTGACGGCAGAAAAGGGCAAGGCCGAGGGCCAGGCTCCAGCCCTGCGCACGCGGGCCGTGGCCCACAGGGCAGCCCCCTTCCCGCACCCCGGGGAGGCGCCACGGGAGCTGCTCCGCGTTACCTGTGCTGCTGCAGTGGGTGAGCAGGGAGCAGCAGGGAGGTTTCAGCCGAGCCCATGGAGGACATCCAGACTTGCCTTTCCAACTGCCTTCCCACCCCCCGGCTGCTCCCCTCAGCAGGACTGTGGCGCTCGCCCTCCTTTTCCCTGCTCCCTTCTTTTCAGTCTTCCTGGGCAACTTCTCGTCTCGCTCACTGGGTCCTGGCAGCAGCTGCTACTGATGACAACCGGATGTCACTTAACTGCAGCCCCTCAAGCCACCAGGGCCCAGTGTTTGCCTTTGAGCTCTGGAGAATCCCATGTTCTGACTCAGCTCGGGGCTCAGAGCTCCCCAGCCCGCGCAGTCCAGTCATGGAGCGCAAGCGGCCGAGGCCGCACGGGGCTCTGCCCCTCGAGGGACACCGTGCTGCCGGCGTCGCAGGCAGCTGCGGGCGCAGCGCAAGCAGGGAGCCTGCAGGCGCTGCAGCCTCGCGAGACGCTGAGAAGAAACTACCCTGCAATAGCTCTGGGACTGGAGCAGCGGAATGTAAACAGCCCAAGCGTCCGCAAGGAGGTCATAACCTCCGAGTCCGGTTTCCCTTCCTCTTGCTCCCTCCTGCCTAATCTCCAAGGGCTGCACTGTTTACTAGTGAGATAAGTAAACAAACAAAGGAAAGCTCCCGAAACAGTTTATTTATTTATTTTTTTTTGGCCAGTTTACTGCGTGCTGCGGTCCCAGGAGGGCAGGACAAGCACGTGCCGTGGCAGGCGGCGCACGGCCCGGGCAGCGCTGAGGCTGGCGGCCGCTCCGCTCGCGGCTCGTTCGCAGCATTATCGCATCGCGGGGCAAGAGGGCAGCAGCGCTGCCTTCAGCACCGGCCGGGGAGCTCCCAGCTTACATCCAGTGGGAGAAAATGGGTAACCTAAAGCTGGGGAAAAGGGGTAAAAAGGCAGAGGGAAAGGACGACCTGCCCAGTGAGGGTAGCAGCGCCTGGCCTGAGTCACCACCACGGCAGCGGCATCGTTCTCCAGTGAGTCTCCCCAGGGGGAAAGGACGAGAACAACTTGGAGTGGAGGCAAACACGACCTCTGGCCAGGCCAGCAGCCCCGGCAGCACAGCCAGGTTGTGCCAGGCACCCGGGGGATGCAGCGAGCTTCACCGGGATGGCACCAACACCGGCTTCCAGGCACACGGGAGCAGGCGAGCAAGCGGTGGAGGGGTGTGCAGGGACTCAGACACCAGGTGACGAGTCCCCACCATCCCGAGTCCCTACGCACAAGCTGCTGGTACCACGCCTGGGCCTGGCAGTGCCCGGATGGCAGCTGGCTCTGCAGCAAGACGAGCGGACGGGTGTAAGACAGACAGGATGAGCATCCAGGGCCCTCCTGCTCCCTGGCAAGCGCCTGCTGAGAGCTTCCAGGGTAAACCTCTGTGCTCTGGATTTCCTAATCTAAGGGAACGTCCTGCAGGGCAGAGCCATGGGCGAGAGCCGCTCCTGTCTGCTCCCTGCACATAGGGTGCCAGGAACTGGATACCAGGGAGCAACATTCCTGCCTTATCCAGGGCCGGCTCCGGCTTTGCCAGCAAGAACAATCGGGCTGCCAGGAACTGCGCCTTTCCCGACCCGTTTGCTTTGGCTCAGCGCATCCGGCGCACCAGGCCGTCCAAAGTAAATCGCCCCGGTGCAGACGCGGCTCCCTGCCCGGGGCCGCGCAGCCTCCGGGCCCCGCGGTGCCGGCGGGCCGGGTCG